GAACAGGAACCAATCTGATTTATACACCATTAGATGTAACTTTTCAAGCTCTACAAAACCCTGTATTTTGTTTTTCGAAATGAATAAGTTGAGAAATCCGGCAGGGTCCTTTCTATCAATAAAGCCTTTCGGTTTTTAAGGGTTAAGTAGTTGACACTATTTATAATGGTTCGGCTTCCAAGATTAATTGACGCCAGTTAATTGTTTCATTTGTATTTCCATCAAATGGATGATATTCGTCTCTAAATATTTTCCAGTCACCAGAACATCGCAATGGTGGCTTATTGGACAATTGCTGAATGCCTGACCAACGTCCAGAACAATTATTGAAAGCGCAAATTTTTGGTTCAACATATGTGGAACACATTGGACATTTAGTAGTTGATTCATCAGACTCCGTAACTACATCGAATTTCTTCATTCCAATACAAATAACTACGTTTCCTTGGTTGTAAGCTTCACAAGATTCATTGATACATGGCCCTTCCAGGAAAATTCCTGGCGTCGTAAGTCTCCATTTTGGAACACCGTTCTTCAAGCAATTATCTGAACGATAATACTGCTCTGTTAGGAGACCCTTTAATTCATTGAAAGTTGGCCTATCATCTGGTAATTTGACCCAAGTTTTGAGAATGATAGCCCAATATGGTTGACTACAATTTGGTGGTTGACATAGAATATCACCCGTTGTCACTCGTTGAATAACGTCCTCATCTCTTTCCACATTAGCCCATGGTAATGTAGATCGTGAATATGCTTCCCACATCAATACACCTATCGAATATACATCGGATTTTTCTGTATAATGATCAGACTGTGTGCTATCTAATAGTATTTCGGGTGCAGCATATCGAACAGGAACTATGTTCAGCGGTGTTTGTGCACTAGTAGGTACCATTGAAAACAATTGACTAGTACGACTGAGACCGAAATCAGTAAGTTTTACAACATTCTTCTCCGGATTATTTGGGTCAAAACAAAATACAAGAACATTTCGACATGCTAAATCACCATGAATGACTTGATTAGATGCCAAATATATCATTGCTTCAATGATCTGTAGAAATATTTGTACAAGAACTTTCTCATTGAAAACCACTGTTTCCTCTTGTAATAAATCGTACAAACTTCCTTTAGATGCATATTCTTGTACTAAAAGTACTGCGCTGTTCTGTTCATTACTATATTTGTCGTTGACAAAACCAAATGTTCGAACAATGTTTGGATGACGAGTGAGTTCAACATAGATCGATGCTTCTTTTCTTGCTCGAGCACCATTAATTTTTAAAAGAACGATTTCGGGTAAGTTTTCATTCTTGAGTAACCATTTGGCGCGGTAGATCGACTTTGTTGGTGTTTGAAAGAATGGTCGATCCAATTTGAGTATGTCGACGTCAAGTGTAAACTGATATTTTTTATTGCGGGTGAACTCCTCGAAAGAGCCGACAATCTTCTCTACCAGATGATTTGGATAGAGATTTTCAATAGATAATCGTTGTTGTGTAATTGGACTTCTACCATTTCTTCGGATCCAATCTTCAATAGCAGCTCTTTCATATGTATGCCCATCTTGTGCTACGACTGGATTACGAAATAATACATATGATAGTGGACATAACAATAAGTCATTCGATGTACTCATGTCAGCAGCTGTTGCAACTTTTATACTTTCATATTCGATTTAACTATAAAAAGTGAAACAACTGTAGTTCTTTAATGCAGTCGAGGTCAATCCAAATGCTTCGTACGATAAATAAATTTTCTAGAAAATATAATAGACATCTCGATAGAACCATTTAGAAAGAAAGAAACAGGTTTTATCATTCACTTGCTTTCTGAATGTACATGTGTGTAGATAATGAGCAAATTCTGTGGGCACTATTTAAGAGAAATGCACGAGTTAAGGGAAAACATGGACGCCATTACGGACTCACGAATGAAGAAATAGGATTGACTGCAAATTTTTCAAATGGAAATCATTTTCGTGAGTGATGATTCACATGAAAACAGTCAAGGTATCTGTTTTATGACGAACTGGAAGCAGTAAGTGTTCTAGGATTTTTGAGTAGGCTAAAGAATGCAAAGAAATTTTTGAATATTTTCAATACAGAAATAAGCAGAAAAAAAATTTATGACAATAATCATCAACATACGTTAAATTGAATAATATTTCTTTTCTGTCTTTTAGTTATATTGAAGAACATCAAGCTTATTTCTTTGCACTATGAAAACATGAAATGCCTACAACTAGATAGTTAATAATTTTAGACAGATTTGATTTATTTAAAGTTCGTTTGTTCACTTCAAGTCTATAATGATTTTTATTTGAAAAATGTGTAGCCAATCCTATTTCTCCACTCGTGCCTCCATAATGGCATCCATGTTTTCCCTTAACTCGTGCATTTCTCACAAACGGTGCACACATTGATAAGATTGAAATACATAAATTTTCCTACTTGACTTTTGCATTATTTTCACTGTCGAAATAAAATGCAAAAAACGAGTAGAAAAGTTTATGTATTTCAATTTTGTCGATGTATTTCACTTTTAGTTTTAGCTAGAGATCTAAAACTTTCAGAAATGAAAGATCTTGATTAGATATATATGTGATGCAAATTGCATCTCTTTGTGTCAAGAAAAAGTATAAAAAATATCATTAAAAATGTATTCTCAGTTATTATGAAACATTCTTTAATTGTTAGGATATGTAGAGAGAGCTCGAGGTTCTATTTTCTCGGTAGAAACGTAACACAATATTTATACCATGCTATTGAATAAAGAAAATCAACTTGATTCGTACTTGAAATTTTGTATTCGTTATGTTGCCTATTGTTGCATGCAGGAGAGGTGCATCATTATTGTTTTTTTTTGAGTAGCCGGAATTTCGCCAATAAGATTTTCGCCAATATGACTTTTATCAGTACCCACGGCACTGCACACCATTCTTTGTGATTCTTTTGGAAAGTTTTCACTATCTTCTGAGAAGCTCAAGGACTTTCGACAATAGCTACCCTCATTTTCCTGCAATTTCGCCAATATTGGCGAGAGTCTTATTGGCGAAGAGCGGCGACCCCTTTTTTTCCTTTTATAAATCATGCGACTTTCATTGCATTGCTCAACTTTATGGTGATGTTGCATGCTGCGCTGAATAAAACGTGAGTCATGGCATGTTTTTAAAAGAATATTTGTGCAAAAGTGGGAAAATAAGTCATGTGCTCAGCGACAGAAACGTGTATAGTGGGAAGAGTCGCTTGAAGAATATTCAAATTTGCAGTTGTCTCCACGACTTGAAAAAATATAGAATTAAACAAAGTGATTAATCTCGCTAGTTATCAACATCAATCAGATTGCTTAATCCAGTTTTACTTCACATGGTAACGACAAGATTGTTGACTCGGTCTTTAAAATAATTGAGTTTCGCATGTGCGCTGTACCAACACGGTTCACCTATCCTAAAACTTGCATACCAATCATAAGTGAACTTGTTGTTCGTGCCTTGTATAGCTTGATCGTGAACAAGCACAGCTGAATAGTTGGAAAAAAGAAACAAGCATACACGTCATCATTTTGTTTGTGTGCGTTACTCATCCGTGTGAAAGTTTTTTGATTTTTCATCCTTCTTTGAAACACATTTCAATGCGAAATATCAGAAGGATGGTCGCTTGTAATGGAGCCTCTTGAAGCGCTCTATTAGTTTTGAGTTCTATTTAGGAGCACATTCGAGACGGTGAGGACAGTCTTAGCTTAAACAAATTAATGCGCATGTGCCCTCAGAACCCATTTACGATTGTTTTACTTCTCGCTAAGCTTGTGACTCCAATGTTTGGAAAAATCTTGAATGTATTAAGTCTGTGTGTCAGGGTGTTTGTAGGCATGAATTTGATTGAAGTGAGTGAAAGGAAGACAATCGACCATACACACATGCTATAACGATGATTTTTCATCGAGGGTCATTGAAGTGGCTTTTTCTCAGATTCTAAGTAACAATGAAAATTTGTCGTTTGTGCAGCTTTCGATGGAGGATATTTGCGGTTATATTTCAAATGAAAATATCGAAGTCAACACGCTTGATTTTTCCGGAGTCGGAAAAGGGTGAGATTGTCCTTAAATGACTAGTAATACCAAGGATCTCTTGAAAAAGAGATCCTTTGAAATGCCTGCTCAGTGTTGTTGTTTCAATAACAAGTTGGAATGGTAATAAGACTCGGTATTCAAATGATGAATATACTTCTTTAGATAAGATAGTGAGTATAACAGTTAAAAGTCTCTCACCCGAACTGACATTCCATGATTAGAGTATGATTCGTAACTTAACGATGGTAATGCGGGACTAATGTATGAAAAAAAATATTTGTAATCTTGAGACTTGAATCAATATCAATTAATGAAAACAAATTCTATGTAGTGTAATCTTAAATGATTTAAAGTAGAATATAAAGCTTGAGTATTACTTTTATAGATAAAATCATCATTTCGATTAAATTTTAGTATTATCCATGGTGTATTGTGTTATTAAATATCTACAATAATTACAAAGTTTATATTGGATTCTATAGGCTATGATGTTAAAGATTATGATGTCTATGACTATGTTGTATATATATATATAAATATTTCATCACTATTGCCTAATTCCTTGTTATCTTTTCGTTTGTAATATTTGCTATTTGTCTTAGTGTAGGTTGAAAATGATCGTATAAGATCGAAAATACCTGTATGTATGATAAAACAAAATAAATCATTCAAAATTATATTACATAGAATTTGTTTTCTTTAATTGTTAATGTAGGACTAAAACGCCAAGAGCAGTGGATCCGATTTTTGGTGAAGGAATACATTTTATTTCTTGTGTCTCTCAATGAGATTCACTATCACAGTTAAAAAAGCATATTCGTCCTCTATACAAAATCCCGTTATCTTTGCAACTTACTATTCAAATAGCAATACTTTATACAGTGTTCCGAAATCCTTTTATCATATTCGAATCGTTCTAACTTCAAATGATCATCAAAAAGAAGATGTTTGTACGTGACTTCAAGGTGTAAACAAGTAAGAATGTGTTTCTACTTCTTCTTTACTTGACCATCTTCATTCTTACTCTCTCTCCCACCTCCGCCATTTACTTTCCTTTCAATATCTATGTGAAGTTAATTTCTTTCTTCAATATTTTTTTCAGTTCACTACATACCTGCCCAATATTTAAAACATGTTTCCAATATCCACGTAATACAGGACATTATCAAACTGCGTAGTCCTACAAATATTTCTGTCATAGAGCCACGAATAATTTCGTATAAAGTCACAGGAGACAATGCTAACCCGACAATAGCTATGGAAAATGTTGGATAATACTGATATTTAACAAGTTATTTTGAGAACAGAATATCTATTTTGCAAAATTTAATATCATTTCCATTCAAAATTGATTAATAAAGGGTAAAAGTTCCTGGAAGCGTTGATAACTGCAAGCATACATCATCATGCTGTGTTTCTCAGATATTCATCGAACTATCATCAAGTAAGTTGAACTAATTCGTGCATTGTAAAGGTGAAAAATAATGAGTATTCCATGGATATTCATTCCTTTTGTTCTGTTGAATCTGCAGCAAAAGAGAAACATGAGATATGCAGAAAAAGCTACCGTGTATATGAGCTACAGTGAAAGAACAGAAGTATTATTCATTTTTCCACTCCAAGTAATTTCAACTTTTTAAATTTAGAATGATGTAACGTGTCTTCATTAGACAAACTATGCGTCATATTTTATTTTTCAATGGATATCAACACTTGTAAAATACCAAGATGTGAATGTATGATAGCAATACAAGATCTTTACGATTGAAAATTCCAAGCAGAAAGTATCTAAAAACATAAACTAAGACATCCTTCC